CAACACAGGCATCCCTGCTGCTGGCCCACTCAAAAACTACATCCCCAGTCGAACTGGGCTGGGGAGTTACCTGGTTCAGGGTGCCTTGGTGCTGGGGGGCCGATGGCTGCTGGGGCGTGGCTGAGCCGTAGGAGCCGGCCATTCCGTACTGGGAGGGGGAGCCGTAGCCTTGGTACATGCTCTGCACAGGCAGAGAGGAGGGTGAGTGGCAGGCTGGCTCCCTCCTTCTGCTGCTCAGCAGCCACGATGTCCTGACCCTCCCCCATCTCTCACCCCTCTGCTTTTCTCTCCACTGCATTAATATACCCAGCTCTCTTATACTAAGAAGTTAAATAAGACAAAAACCTCTATCAATTCTATACCCCACTTCCCTTAGTTCTCAGAATTATTTCCCTATTCCACAAAAATTTGCTGGTGCCAGCTCTTTTAAGCACTACAACAGAACAGAAATAAAAAATAACCCATGCCTGAGTAAAGCTGGCACTCAAAATATGTGCAGCTGCAGACACGCATGTAGCACATCCAGCAGGAAGTGCTGTGAAAAAAAGACCCAAGGAAAGCAGCAGAGTGGGGGTGCAGGGTACCCTTTAGGCAAAGCACGGCAGAGAAAGGCGCCCTCTGGTAGGCAAGAGAGGACGCAGTGAGGCTGGGCCCGTGGGAAGCACCGTGACCACAGATGTGGATGCGGTGCGGGCAGATTGAAGTCTCTGCACCGTGCACTGAGCACAGGGGGAGAGGGGGCCGAGACCTGGTGGGCCACAGGGGACGGGAAAGGGGACAGGGGATCAGGGACCGGGAAGGGGGGACTGGGGAGGGGTGTCGGGCGACAAGCGTCTGCACTCACCACAGGGTAGTAGTAGCTGTAGGGATAAGCGTAGCTGTATTGCTGGTACCACTGGTAGTACTGTTGCTGCTGCAGGGCAGAGGCTTCCGCCTGCGACACGTACTGTGGGGAGAAGCCCACATGCCATCAGCCTGGGCAGCGGGAGCCCAGGGGCCCACGGCCCCCAATGGGAAGGCCTGTTTCCTGGTTAACTGCCAAGGAACAGAACTGGGCACATCTCTCCACAGTGAGACACCACCTCTGCCATCAGACTCAGGCACCTCAGGAACAAGGACATGTGGTGCCCCAGACACTTCAAGGAAACAGTCTTTGCTTCCCTCATTCTAGGAGCACTCTAGCTTGGTGACACCAGAGGACACCAAGCATGTCCCTCTCCCAGCAACCCCCCACCAGGCGCCCAGGCCCCTGTGGCCTCCTCACCTGTGTGCTGGCCACAGGCCCGTTGCTGCTGGCCTTGGAGCTGCCTGCAGCACCCGCCTTGCTGATGCTGGCCAGGGCCTGGCGGGCCTTCTCCCACTCTGGGTTCTCGTGCATGGGTGTCTCCATGCCATTCTCCCTGCCTGCCCCGGCCACCATGCTGTACTGGGAGGACCTGTGGAGAGAACACACCGAGTTCGCTGCCCTCCCCACTGCATGGTGGGTGAGGTGGGAAAGGCCACCACCCAGGTGGGATCACAAGTCCCCTCTCACTGTCTACTGCAGCCTAAATTTTCCAATCTATGACGTGCTGGCACCCAGTTTCTGTTGCAGTTTTCTGTGCAGAATCAGGACATTACCTGCCTAAAGGACTTTTGCAGGTGCCTAGTGCACAAGCACTTGTTAAATATAAAGCAAACAAATTAACTACCAATATCTGCAAAACTTAACCTAGGACCTGGTGCTGAGAAGAGCTAAGTGTTCTATGAACCAATGAATTCTGACACTACCCCACTCCACAGGTTATAATCTGTTTTGGAATAAATAAGGAATTAGCGAAAAGATATACGGCTGAGTAGTAAGTGTTGGTGGCTGCCTCCCAATCACAGTTCACTGAATAAAGCACCACAATTTTGCAAAACAAGCACTGTACTGTGAAAAGGAAGCTCAGAAGCTTGACCGGCTCCACACTACAACCAATGCTCCCTGCAGTCTGCTGCGAGTGGGCCCCGGCCCCACCCCGACCCCCAGGGACTGCTGCATCACGTCCCCCACAATACGCCAGGTCCCACCCAGGGGGAGGCCGACGCTTCCTCTCGCCTCTGTCCCTCAAGCCCACTAACCAGTCTGTGCCTCGCTGATCTCCCACGTTGGCCGCCATCTGGACCTTGGGGTGTAAGGGGTGGACCTGGGGAGCCAGACTGCTTTTTCACTGTCTGTGAGAAAAAGAATGAGTTAGGGAGACTCAGGCAAGCGGAAAAAAAAAAAAAAAAAAAAAAAAAAAAAAAAAAAAAAAAAAAAAAAAAAAAAAAAAAAAAAAAAAAAAAAAAAAAAAAAAAAAAAAAAAAAAAAA